TAAGGTCGTCCCAAACCAAATTCCATGCCGACGGCAAGTAACCGGGTTTCGGGAATTTCCCGTGAGGAAAACGGAGCAGTTCGGGGCGATTCGAATAATTTCAACTGCTCCAACACGCATGCTGTTTTGTTAGCTCGCGGAATGGAAACTAGCGAGTTGTCGGCCTGGTCAGCCCCGGTCGCGATTGTAGTCCTTATCGTCGACGGTAACAGGACACACTCTCGCGTGCCGATGATTGCACGGTTCTACCGTGAGCACTGGCACGGCATTAATACCATTATGCGAGTGGACCCTCGGATTAACCCTTCGCGCGTTTTCCTTATGCGACTGCAACATTTATGAATCGTATGTCGCCGTTGTACCGTACGAATGTCGCCGTTGACATTTGGCCGTCCGCCTATCGATCGTCAACAGCGTCCATTTCGTGAGCGTAATCGTTTAACAGTTTGTTAAGGAAAAGTGACTCCATTTATTATTACAGGATTTCAAAGGAATAATCCCACTTTGTTACTTGATGAAGTCAGAGTTTTTCAAAGAAGCTTTTTTTTCTCATAATTAGACTCTTCTCTAATAGATTTTTTTTCTCGAGTTGGATTTCCTACCTACCACTCCAGAACAGTTTCGAATTTTTAGTAATAATGAGAACTAAAAGGATAAAATTTTATAGAATTTCTTTTAAAACGATGCACGCACATATATGCGATGGATAGATCGAATATTACGTTAATTTCGAGCATTACTGTGATGTCGTTTTATCACTAAATCGTCGTTTATTTGTCTCGCTTCAACTTTTATTCCTTTACAACATTTTAAAGCGATAGCAGATGACTATCTAGGTAATATGCGACTAGAAAATATGGACCAAGAGAGAGTATCAGCGGACGAAGAAGGATGAAAAATCGATAATTCGAGGCGCCTCGCGAGCATACGCGGGGAAAAAAAAGTTTGCTTTCCACGTAATTTTTTTTTTATATTTACGGAAGCACCGTTTTTACACAGATTAAAATCGATATTGTGAGAATTCTATAATCTGTATAGCCAGTAAACGTAATTGAAATTTGCATAAACGAGAAATTAAACTGAGATTATTTTCAGATTTTTATACTTTATATTTTTTCGCCAGTATACGACACGAGTCAACAAAAGATGTCGATGGTAAAATAAACTTTTTATTCCACCCTATATGTTACAATTTCTTCACATATTTCGTTAGAAGTAAACGTTAATTCTCAGTACGAAGCAAAAAAAAAAAAAAAACTCGGATACCGCATCACGATAGATACGACTTTCGTGCGTTTATCATGCATCGGATATATCCGTACAAAACGCGGGCAGGAGAGTTCGACATAAATTAGATTGTACTTTCACACGAGGGAATACGATAGAATACGCGTGTCTCGCATTCGCATTGCACATCCGTGAGAAGCTCCCGCGTTAAAGCATATCGTCCCGACCATTACCGTGGCGGATGCCTATCGAATTGGCGGGATGCCGTAATGTTTCGTCAATATTTACAATCTCGACCGATCGATCGGTTATTCGCGGATACGCTGAAACATCAGTAAAATCGGGGTCAGCCGGCGAGACTTTATTTGACGGAACGCCGCATCAAGAATAACAAGTTGCGCCGCACCGGATTTTTCGCGCAAGGTTTTGATCGGCACGAATTAAAATTGTTGACCTGCTCCACTCGAAAAACTCCTAACTAGGCAGCGGTGAAATATCGACGCTAAAAGTAAAACTCCTGGCTTTGGCTTCGCGTTCAAGTAGACTCGCGTACTCTACAAATTTCAATTAGCGTTTGAAGTTAACTCTCCTGTTTAAAGAATGAAGCACCAAGCGAATGTGTGGTTTCTCGCGAGCGCAGTGCGCGCAAATGAAAAAAAGTGGCTGTTAAATCGGCGGTAAGACAGATAGAAACATCGCCACTTGCCATAGTGGTTATCTAGATTCTTTCCACCGTTCTAACTCTATTTGCTAGCGCGTTATCTAACTGGCATGCGCCGTACCGTAAAAATTAAGGCTGCTTCCTTCGCTTTACCGTAAAAATTTGAGGAGCTTCGCGTTCGTTACGTTCTATAAATTCTATAAAACTCAAAAAAAAAATCATACACCTTTTAGTTGGATTCAAGTCTGTACGGATAACTAATTTTTTTTTGCAAAAATCGTAACACCGGATTCGCGAGTATTTCAATATTATCCGCGGACGATACTCGTAGAACGGTTTCTATATTTTCACACGATATAATCTCGTATTATGTACGATTTGTGCTGCGTTCATATAAATGTTCCATGCTATAAAGGTCTGTGTGCACACACACATATCATACATATATATATATATATATATAGGTATATATATATATATATATATATATATATATTAAACAGTGAATTCATCTCATTAGCACAGCCTAAATAATTTAATCATTATTTCTGCTGAGGCTAATTTCGTCAATCATACGCTTTAATATTTAAAGTCGATTTAATCCACTCTAGAAATTAATAAACAAAAACTGCGAAAATATAACTCCGAGCCTTTAAAAATTATTCATTTTTAATAGTAGTATTTTAATAATCTATCTGTAAAGAGGTTATCAAAGATTAAAAACATATCCAGTATTTAGAGCACAACAAAACTCCGCGAAGCAATTAATGATCGTTATTTATACAAAGCAACATAGAAAGGATTAAAAATCCTAGCTGGCTTATTATATAATTTAAAAAAATATAGTCGGGTTTACGTGTAAACAATATTAAATGAATGACTTTTGTGAAAACTCTAAAGTGGATACGCTGTGCGAATGGCGGTCTGTTTTGCTATATCCTTACCGTCACGGCGCTTCTTGGTGGCTTAGCTTTAACACGGCAAATCCCACGATCGCTTGGAGCGGAGTTTAAGCTGGGCTTAAGTCTTAAGTGACAGTAATGAAACCGCGTGTCGGTCGGTTTTGCCGAAATGGCATTTTCTTCCCGTCTCGCGCGCAGTCGTTTACATCAGGACGAACAACAGTTTCCGATCGCTAAATGAGAGTAACGTATACGACGGGGATGAAAATTGTTTGCGCATTAAAATGCGGTGGAAAGCCCCGTTCGGCGGGGTAATTTTATTACCCCCTCGGGGGCCAACAGAAGGGCTAAACACTTTACCGCGCCAAACCCCGCGCTGCAATTGCAATTTATACTCGTAATTCGCTCGGACTTATGGACGTAGCAAAATACAACGGGGACACCAACGTACGGAGAAGATTATTCCCGCCGTACGAAGCGCTTCGATCGATATTAAAACAATCGGACGGCGCGAAGCGGCATTACGGCGCTTGAAAAACGGGCCAACTTTGGCACATGTTTTTTCTCGGCACGGCTACGCTACGACCACGCCGTCTCTCGGGTGTCCTTTAATTAATTAGCACGGGAGCAGCAGGAAGAGGCAGCTGCCAAGCGGCGCACGGGGTAGTGTACAGAGCGAACGATGGGCGGAACGGAGAGAGAGGAAGAGAGAGAGAGAGAGAGAGAGAGAGAGAGAGAGAGAGGAGAGGGAAGATGGGGCCGCGGAGGGAGACATGCGAATGGGCGAGAGGGTAAAGGTTGGCGTTGCTGCTGCAACATTAGCCCCGGGCCGGACTGGTTACTGGTTACACTGACATTCAGCTCGAATGCGTACAGATTCGCATGCTTCCAAAGTATCCGGCGCTGAAAGATTCGCACAGGTGCAATTGCTTACTATTACTACCACCATCACCACTACTATTACTATCATCATATATCTACCCTGCGTCAAACTCCTACCTCACGCATCTCCGCATGCGTTGCGCGCATGTTTATTTAGCTACACCCGTGTGTCTGACATTACGTAATTAAATGCATACAGCCTCAAGCTTAAGTACCGGCGTCCCGCCGTGTATTAATCAATGAAAGAGCCGCGCGTTCTCGCGCGCGCGCGAGAGAGAGAGCGAGAGAAAGAGAGAGAGAGAGAGAGAGAGAGAGAGAAAGAGACGGACGTAGCAGCGTGCATCAAAAATAGTTGGGACGGTTTAAGATCAAACGCGTTCTCGGATTTGCTTCCGCCTCGATTGCTTCCAATCTCGCCGACTATGGAAACAGAGGAGTTCTATAACGCGCGACCGATTCACCACAAAAATGTGTTCCAGATTTCAGCTGAGACGCGCGAGAATTAATCGTATACGTGCAAAGAAAAATGAAGTCGGAATAATGAAGTGGGCAAATTCTTAGAGCATGTGGAACGTAACGAACGTTTCATCTGATCGAAAGAGACATTGTTGATAATAATTATAGAAGATCATAATATAATTTACATTATAATTAATAATATAATTTGTTTGTATTTTAAGTAAGTTTACTTATTTTATTTTATTTTATTTTATTAATACAAATATTCTAGTTTTTTGCGCTGTACTGCATTACAAAATGTTCCGCGAACTAAATAAATCTTTTATTAAGAATGAGATAGCGGTATGTCCAACAAAATCCAGATGTGATCACATTTTCAAATTACTACGAACCACCAACAGACAGTTTAGAGGAACGACCGAGGCAGGGAATTTCGAGTTGGCGAGAAGATAGGATGAGAGATGTACCATGCGGTCCGAGAGAAAACTCGGCACCAACTTCAGTGCCTGCGCGAGCGTGTTGCATGGATGGTCGGGTCTAATGAACGAATGGGGTCTCCGCGTAAAAGAAAACAAGAATAAATAAAAGAGCTCGTCGTCGCTTTTGCGGTCAGTTACTTGCCGCCCGCCGCGCGACTCCGCTCTCGCTCTCACGGTCCAGTTCACCCGGCAACGCGGTCGGAGTCCGACGGTGGAGCGAGCTTGCCACCCTACGCTTGAAATTAATCACTTTTTCATTAATGTCGCCCCGCAAGTTGGAAAAGCTCGTACGCGTTGGAAACTGTCGCGTCCCAATATCTTTATTACAGTTTCTTCGAATTCTACGGCAAAGAAGGGTAGAAAAGCTACGGAAAATTTCTCTTTTTCCAGATATTTCGCGACGGCAGCGTAAAGTGTAAGAAGAACCTGAAGACATCATTAAGTCTCACCTGGGGAAAAAGGTACAGCGGAAACGGTCGCAAACTTGACGAAATGATATCCGATAAATGATACAACGATTGATAAAAGCAAGAAGAGGACGGTAATGGACTAACTTAATTCGCACCATAAAAAGGCAAGCGATAGTTTGGCATAAAAGGCTATATGTCACGCGCTTTGATGATGAAAGTTCATGATGCTTATCTCTTTTATACACGCCATGAATGGAGCTACCGAGTCGCATGATCGATTATCGGCTGATGGTTTACTACCCTCATGAGATCTCTCGCCCCCTTTGACGCAATATAACACGGAGACCAGATGCTCCCTCGCATGGCAGGGGAATTCATGATTCATGGTCAATTTAAAAAGATGAGAGAGAGAGAGAGAGAGAGAGAGAGAGAGAATGTTAATATAACTTCACAGTCAAGGACTAGTTTGCACGTTTGTCGTAGATTTCAAGTTTCTTTCTTTTCTTTCTCTCTTTCTTTTAAAGAAAATGGAACAATTATTTGTGAATCGATTAAAAATCGATTTAACGTATTGTAATTTAAGAGTAATATTAAAAGTAATTTACAATATATTTTTTATCGCGTACACCGTTAAATAGTAATATTATAAGTTACGTCGAGTCGCTGGAAGTTAGCACGCTGCTGCATTAAAAAAAAAGCAAAAGAAACAAAGAAAAAAACGATATTGGCACCTCGACGCTATCGGCGATGTGAAAAGAAGCGAGCGCGGCGTATCTGCATGAAAACAGGTGGAAGTCAAACGTAATCCAATTACGGGATAATCGCATTGCCTCGAGATTCATACTCGGGCATTCGGGCGAACTATTGAGTGATTAAAAATAATACCCAACAACGCGCGCGCAGTCGGAAGTTCGCACACGTGTACGCAAACGCGAAAACTCATCCACGGAGTCACTCCTCGTTTCACTCGTGTAACTCTTTTTCTTTCGTTTTTCACCCACCGCCGGGCTACTATGCCACTTTGATCCCACGTTGCAAATAATCTTCCCGCATTACAAAGATCCTACGTGTACTCAAAATGTAATTAATTGGACCAAAAGCTTTACGTTACTTCTTTCATGTATTTCGTCCATATGTATACCTTGTTTGTAAATTTTTTACTGATAGTAAAAACGCAACGGCGGTTTTAGAGTATTATATATAAAATAAAATAAATGTAACTACGTGGTGCTTATCAACGATTTCCGATTAAATCTGAGTGCATGTATAGTTTGAACTTATTCCTTTTCATTTCTTTTGAATATCTTTATAAAGATATAAAGATACCTCTACACCAGTTAAAATTTTGATTGTCTTATAATTATCATATTTTTACAAATTATTGTAGAGTGATGAATTATGTTTATCGATAAACGGATGGGGATTATTAAGGATAATAACACAGCGACTGCTTCGACTGTAGAGAACTGTTGGCCTCCATTTGATCAAATGGAAACCAACAATGTCGATAACAACTAGGAAAAATTATTACCGACGTACAGAACGGTCGGACAGATTATAAGTCGGTAAAGGCAGAAACCTAGTCATCGGTAAATTCAGAACAGTCGATAGTACTGCTGTTGTCGGTACGAAGACTTACCTTCGTTCGTAAATTACCCAAAAAAGATGTTATGCTGCAATATGTGTCGGTAACATGATATTGCAAATTCTTATTATTTTTTATGATAAAATTATCAAACATATTTTTTTTCAATGTCCACAGATAAATAAGTTATGCAAAATATACATAAATATTAAGCAAGCAAGAATCTTATTGTTTTGAAAAATTTTGTTATGTGTACCCAAAAATTAACAACCATCGGTCAACATAAATTGCTATATGTAATGAAAATTATTATGCAAGTAACAAATAAATTTAAAAAACATTTAATATCAATTTAATATCAATACTGACATTTATAAGCTTTCGCTTGTTCCGTAACAATGGTAACAATGCTTTTATTATATATCCACATATACGTCACATATCGTGGCATAACATAGCTTTTACATTTACCAGCGTCATAATAAAAATATATCGGTAAAATAAACTGAAGCATTTTGTAAAAGAATTGTTCCAGTTTAATTGTTTTGTTTGCATTGTCTGTCATTGGAAAATGATAACTTTCGATCGACGTGTTTGTTAAATTAATCGGCTTCATTCTATGACATATACATATATGTATCGTATGAATTATATGATACGTAAATTCTTGTAAATATAAATCGATACGATTACGCCGGATCAAATTTAGAAAAAAATCGCAGATCAGCTTTATTGCATAACTTTCAGCGATATTTCAAAATAATAGATAATAAAGCAATAAAAATTCCTCTCATACACTCGTAATAAATAAATCGTACTGCTCGAGAATAGATGAAATTTATATCATCAAAACGTATAGGCATAAATAAAATTGATAAATTATTGATAAAATTAATCTATCAAAAAAACCATCAAAAAGAAATTATTTATTTTATTAAGTGTACTTACTACTATATTAAATAATAAAAATGTCTTATAATAAAAGTATTATATAATTAACTGAATATTTCTTCTTTAATTAAATACAATTAAAAGCAAAAAACAAAACAATTCATATGTATAAATGTATATTGATAACAATAAAAATTGAATAAAAAATGTATATTGACAATAAAAAAACATATACAAATGAAAAAAAAATCTATACTCTTTGTGAACTTACATTGTCATATTTTTATTTTTATATAATAAATTTACTTCTCTTTTAATATTTTAATTGTAATGAAGAGTTTTGCAATAAAAATAACAGTGAAAGAAATAGACAGGAACCGCAAATGACAATGTTTAGGTAAGCGTCAGAAGGAATAAACAAATTAATGAGGGCAACGAAAAAATTATCGATAAATGTATGTATGCAAATTAAGAGTATAAAACAAAGAAGAAAATTCAATAACTATGAAGTGACCTCACATATAAACATTGATAATGTTTTTATCATCTACAGTTAATTAAAAAAGCATGATTTATATTCTTGACATTATCTTTAATCGTAAAAGTAGCTTAAGATCGCATGTGCCGCGAGTAAATAAAGTTGTTATCAATTCTGCAATATTTCACGAATAATCTTAACGTAAATTTTAAAGAGATAGTGACTTGAAATATCTGCTGTAAATATTACTATAATAAAATGCATATATGCAGTTTTATTTGAATAAAAACAGTACTTTAGAAATTTCATGTTTTTAAAGAAGGCAAATTCTAGAAATATATCTCAATTTTAACGTGGCTACAATCAAAATAAAACGAGATCAGAGAGGCAATGCGATATCAAGAATCGTTTTTCGTTGCACATATATGTGTGGCCAGTGAGAAATAATATGCGAAAGGTAAATGAACGTAATAATAACAAACATACGTGCTACGTCGGTCGCTACTGCACGGATACTTCGTACATCCCACCGCGGGATGCCACTGTCGGTACGCACCTGTGTCGCTTTTCAGAGAGCTCAGAACGTGGCTAGGTCCGCCCTGAAAGCAAACATCGCAGAGACACGTTAATTTCAGCGGAAAAATCAATACGCTCCTCCGTTCGCTTCGAGGAACGTTTCACATCTTATTGTTAACCACGTGTTTCTAACACCGCTTACAAATACCGGCGATATATATTCGGGTTTACACCGTGATCGGTCCGAGAGTGACAATTTCGAGAGGCGCAGCGACGAACACGACACGCACGGGGAAAATCGTTCGCCGGCGCGCGGCGATGATGACGTTGTGGATTGTGAAAGAAAGACATGCGAGCCGAGGAGCAATCGGGCGATATTCGATCTCGCGCTTATTCTACACTTCCGGCCGGCTGTCACAACACGCGAAACGCTCGTGGACGGAGCGGGTTACCATGGTGACGTTCGTTTATTCGCCGGCGCCGCGGCGCCGGCGAAGTGGCCGAATATAGTTTATATAAATACATACATACATATTTCATTATTCCCGATACAAATACAATTAATTCATATATTTTGGTGTTTTCTGCCGTATTGATTTTGTATAACTTGCTTATGAGTTGAATAAATATAAATTCGAATTTAATCTGCCTACCAAATTCCATAGTTTACATAGTAAGCCCCATAGCAATATTTTATATCGCGCTATTTTTTACTTATAAATATTAACGGTTATTTCGTACGAAGTGTAAATATTTTTCCCTCATAAAAAAATTATTAACTTCATCACCGCCTTGTAACTTTGACAATTACACTCTTACGTGGACAAAACTTGATGGGAAAAACCGATGACTTCTCCATAGACATCATAGACCATTCTACGTCTATGGCCTTTTCACTGACAGAAAACAATGCGCGACGCGTCAATGACTGCGCACGCAGCTGTCATCGGCTTCGAGGGATCGGTAAACAATCCCGATTGTTTACCGGCGCAACCTCGTGGCGCGGTGTCAGAGGAGCCGTCAATTCGCGAAAATCTTACGGATTGACGAGTCGAGGCACCCGTGCCGACGGCGGGGCCGGCCACGTCGCACGTATGTTCGAAACGGGAAGAGTAGAAAAACTGCGCGAAACACGGGGAGGAGGTTATACAGGACGAGTGACAGGCTTCGGGGACGAGTACGCGACAGCACCGCGACGCTCACCCACCCGCGGACAATCGCCGCTCTCGTTGTTTCGCGTATCCACGTGCTCGCCCCGTAGAATCGATCCTCGCACGTTTCGTGGCACGAGACCCGACTCGACAGACGAGTCCGACAATGAGACGACAGTGCGACGACGATCCGACCGTTCCGAGTACACTTTGCAAAAGCAGGTAATGAGAATACGGAGGGGAAAACACTCACCCGCGTTCTCCGCGTTCACGACGATCTTTCCGGACGCCTCCGGGCGCCGCAGTTACATCATAGAACACGCACGCACACACTATATCTATGTTCTAGGCGCTGATATTGGAAAAACTCGTGTAAAATGTATAAAAAAGGCGACGGTTAGGAAGCTGCCAGGAGAATTGCCATGGCGATACCAACACCAGGGCGGCCATATTGTGCTACGCCGCGGTAGCTGCTGCCATCGGGCGGCGGATCGCGGAAGCTCCTCCCGACGGAGCGAAACTCCCGCTGAATTATAAATTCAGCGCGACGTTTAAACGACAAATTGACCGATATCGCGTCAATTTGATTTGTATTTTGAGAGATCAAATATATTAGATATTTCGTTGCATTGTGAAATCAAAGTAATAAAAATGTCACAGCGGTCGATACGTCGGTAATTCAATGGTCGGCGACGCGTTTCGCTCGACGGCTCGAAGATGGCTCCACGAGTATCTTTAATCAGCCTACAATCATCTCGGGCCCCCGTCGTCGCTAGGTGCGGTTTTTATTTTACACGCGGGTATGTATGTATGTACGCCCGCGCTCCCCTTTTATCACGGCTGAAAGTTCAACTGACTGGAATAAAAATTTTGTGTGATAAAAGTTCCCGTGGTAATAGCCATCCCTTTTGACTTTAAGCATAATGCACGCG